AACATGAGAGAGTTCAGATAGGTAAGAGTCCATTTTACTTGATAAGCTGTCAGGTATTATGGCCTGCAACAGTGCATCTTCCTCTCTGCCTCCCAAACACCTGGCAAAACACCTGGCAAAAAAACTTCGTCACTATGTATTATACGTAAAACACGTACAACACATAATACATGTAATACGTATAATATTGTTCCACTTGTGTTATCTGTGTTGTACGTATGACTTGTCTAATACATATTAAAAATGTTATATGTGTAATACGTATGATCTGTAGAATACATAGTAAAAATGTTATACGTATAATACAACCGCGTGCGTTTCAGGGGCTCTCCTTACCGTACAGTCGTACGATACAGGTGCGGTCTCACCATACCAGAGTTGCTGGAAGATCCCAAGCTTCTCTTGTCAAAGAGAAGGAAACCTGCAGCTCCACGGGCTTACCGATAGATCCAAAGTTCGGACAAACCATGCCCCACAATCTCATACCAATGAGCCACCTTGGTTCTCTTTGGGATGCGGATGGTGCACTTGCTCTCTTCCGCTAATTTTGCTCCCTTCTCCTTCCTGGTTTTCCTCCATGCACCCCCTTCCCTGCCCCCCCCCTTTTTGCCCTGCTCCCATCCTCATTGCTCTCCTTGTACACCCACCACAACAGCCACCCACCACAACAGCCACTGCCCCGCCTAGTTTCACCCCCTCCCTCCTTAACCTATCTATTTAGCATTTGTTTTACCAATAGGGCTCTTTTGAAACAGTTCAGAAGCACAATAGAGGTTGTCCTCTCTGTGAGTTGTTGGAAACTATCATACAAAGCAGCCAGTGGTAGACCAGTCTAGACTAGCTAGAGCGTATTTTAGATGCACGTTCTGGCCTTCGGCATGCAAGACGCCATATCCTCTGCGCAAACAAACCTTGACCTACATGGAAGCTGGAATGGGATGGGCAGATTCGACCATAGATGTTGCGTCCGTCACCATTCCTGCTGCTTCCTTTTGCGTAATCAAATCTTGCCGTGTTGCCAATGCCTTTTTCCGAAGCGCGTTGTAGACCGCACGACCGCGGGCATCCACCATGGCCCCCGATTTGGCATCGTTGCACTTTTGTATAATCATGACCAATTTTTCTTCCAATTTGATGGCATTCGAAATAATTTCCCCGTCCAACTCGTGCTTCAGCTTGCCCATGACAACATCGTTGGCGGTTCCCTGTTTTATAGCACGTGCGTTAGTCGCAGCGATGGCTTCGAGCTCGGCTTCTATCATCCAGTCGGGTTTCTTGTCCGTAGCAAAACTGCGACTGCAGCTATTGCTGGTGATTCTACTACTGGTACTCGATGGATCACTGATGACGGCCAAGGATATTCGGACAGACCTTGCTCGACTGGCAAGTCTTGCTGTCCTCGCGAGATGGGTGTGGACGCGGTGCATATAATGAACTTTTGAGTGGATTATGCGATGGTGATATGAAATAGCGATGTCTTTTAATTGACTTGTCTTGCTTCCCACTTAAAATTGTGTGGAGTGCTATTGTGGGTCGCTGCTGCAAAGTCCTTCCTTCGTTGCGTATTTTCTATCTCCGTGATCTGAAAAGGGGGAAAAGATTCGCATGCGGTCTCAATAAGCCCACAGAACAATGGGACGTCGTGCGATCATCGAAAGATACCTGATCTTGCCGCTGTTTGTGCAGAATAAGTCAGCGGGAGCTGCGATACCTCGACAGAAAGACAGATAGAAGAATGATGACATGTTTGAGATTGCACCATTGTTTCAAAGTATCCCTGGCGACAACACCCGACTTCGTTGTGTGTTGCCGCCGGGTATCATTCCTTCAATATAACCTTCTTTTTTATTTATGCTAGCCCTGGCGACAACACCCGACTTCGTCGTGTGTTGCCGCCCGCTATCCATAATTTTACAGCTGTTACGCCCGTACATCCCTGTAACTTTTGTAGCTTCTGCTGGCTTATTGTGTTGAGTGCACTAACCTTGAATAATCATGATTTATTCCTACCCCTAAATTTGTAGAGTTGGCTTGTGCCTATCTCTATCCCTACATTTTGGCTTCACCGGAACAGGAAACAGGAAGCAGGAAACAGGAAACAGGAAATACCAAAAAAGGGGGTGAGGGCTCAGGCAGATAGACTGCCGAGGTAAAGATCCCCAGCGAATTGCAAAGCTACCGGTAGCTAAAACATGCTTTCCGTAGAGATACTTCCGTCTGCCAATGAAGAAACCGGCAGCTCCCACAATCTCATACAAGCTAGTAGGGCTCTTTCCAACAGTTCAGAAGCACAATCGAGGTTGTCCTCTCTGTGAGTTGTTGGAAACTATCATACAAAGCCAGCTATGGATCATAGTTGTCAGCTGTGACCAGATCCAGCCAGAGTCTTCACTTGAGCCGAGTCCAAAATTTGGATCTTGGATCTTGAGCGATCCATTGCCGGTCCTGAACCTTCCACTCTCAGGCTGCGCACGTTTGCAGTTCTTGGAGTGAGAGGTCATATAAAAGGATTTTGCTGGCAATGATGCAGTCTATTGCCAAGTGTCATCACGGCTTCATGCGGAGCAGTACAAGGCGATCGTCTACTCAGTGTAGACTCTTGTCCTCGTCCATACAAGTGCTGAAAAACACCGACGCAGTGGCTCGGAAAGTCTTGGCATCTCTTTCATCCATCCCTTTTCCCAGTGACGACGCCTCAAATCCATCTTTATTGTTACGCCAATGCCCGGTTGCCAACCAGCATGGTCCAACTCCTCTGGCATCTGCCCCAGACTTGGCCCGACAGTTCCAAGTGGAACAACTGTACATCAAAGATGAGCGAAATCGACTTGGAATGGGCAGTTTCAAAGCACTGGGTGCAGCCTATGCCATTGCCTCGGATGCCTCAAAAGCTGCTGGACGAACTTACGTCACGGCCAGTGCTGGAAATCATGGGCTGTCGGTCGCAGCAGGGGCCAAAGCTTTTGGCGCCAAGTCCATTATTTACTTGGCCGAATCTGTCGCTCCGTCCTTTGCCACTCGTCTCGAGCAGCAATTTGGAGCGACAGTGATACGACAGGGAACCACCTACGAAGAGAGTATGCAAGCAGCAGAGCACTTAGTGGCCCAAGACAAGAATCATGACCAAAGTATGGTTCTACTTTCCGATAGTTCCTGGTTGGGCTACAGCTTTCACTATCCTCTTCGAGTCATGGAGGGCTACTTGGTATTGATGCACGAATCCGTCCAGCAAATCCCACAACCACCCACGCATTTGTTTCTTCAAGCAGGAGTAGGAGGCATGGCTGCGGCTTGTGCTGCCTATGCACGTAAAGTTTGGGGGGATACGACTAGGATTATAGTGGTGGAGCCGCAAGAAGCACCGGCATTGTTGGAGTCTATGGTAGCCGGAAAGCCAGTCATTGCTAAGGGAGATTTATCCTGCATGGGACGCCTCGATTGCAAAGAGCCTTCTCTCATTGCCCTCAAGGGGCTGGCCCGAGATGCGGATTATTTCATAACCATTTCAGAACAATCCGGGCAAGATGGAGTGGAGTGCGCAGAAACTGCAGGGTACAAGACCACTCCGTCAGGGGCTGCCGGTCTCGCAGGTGTCATGGAGGTGACAGCCCAACAAAACCAACGCAATGTTCTGGGATTGACGGCGGAATCACGTGTCATGATAGTCCTAACGGAAGCGCCAGTTTCGTGAGAGGAAAAAGCAGTAGCAAAAAGGTTGCTAGCCATCAGTTTATGTTTTGTTCAAAGTCTACGGCTCCTCTCCCGCATGTACTGATTATCCCGACTGTCTAGCTCGCTACCGCTGGTGGCCGCAAACAAGGCGCTCTGACTCCCGGACCTAAATAGTAAGGGACAACGCACCCACCACCGATGCAGCAGCTTACTGTTGAGCTCCCCATCGAGCTCTATCTAGTTTTGAACTTGTGTCTTCCCCATGAGGCTCTGTGCCACCAACAGACACTCCAGTAGCCGCGTCCTCTTGGTGCACGCTGTTGCTCGGAGACTTTGAACGAATCCCTGGAGGAAACGTAGTCCCTGTAACAAACGTCTTTGGTCGATCAGCCTTCGAGCTTCTACTTGGCACAAAGCCGGCTTTGGGACCTTTGTAGTAAGCGTGGGGGGCATCCAACTTTGTGCCCCTCTGATGAGCGTTTGGTGCGGTGTTGTTGAGCATGCGTGGATTCGTTCCCGATTTCAATAGCCACTCCTTTGTCCTCCATGCTGCGGATGAAGGCGCACGAGGCACCAGTGCCGCCGCAGACTTGGCCAAGCGTTCCCGTACATACGCAGCTTGATCGAGCTCCCGTGCCGCCACTGGTGAGGGGGTTTTCCTCGATCCGTTGCTATTGTCACTTGAAATCTGAGAACCTTCACCATCGGAGGCCGGATTGGCGCTTTGAAGGCTGTTCCCAGCTTCATCATTGTCGTCGTAGAGTACTGTTCCTTCTTCGGTTCCGAGTGTCTCTTTCTCGGCATCGGCCGGGTTCGCAGAAGGCAGCACGGGGCTGCGTGTTCGATGCTGCTTATGCGGCCGTGACTGGACATGGTCCTTGTGCTGCTGGAGATGACTTCCAACGCCTGTCTCCATGTGCTTGACAATACTTTCGAGTCTTGCTAAAACGCTTCGTGTCCTCGAGTTCGGTCGAGCTGACTCTGGCTCGTTTTCATTTACGTTGTCGCTCAGAATTTCTACCAATTGTTTCGCCTCGCTCAAGAACTCATCTAGGAACCATTTCAGTTTCACTGCTTCAGCATGCAGCGCTTCGTTGTCTTCGTCTGCTTCCTGCAGTTGGCGCAGTGCCTCCTGTAATCTACTTTCCTTCTCGTCAAGAGCGGCCTCCAGAGTTGATGTCTTGTCTTCAGCCACTTTGCTCAGATCACGTTGTGGGTTGTTCATCTCTTTGATGACAGACGTTGCCCTTTCAAGAGACTTCTGAAGGGCTTGATTCATTTTTTGGAGCGACTTGTAGTCGTCATCGACACGTGATTGATTTTCGGCCTTGTCTTTTAGCTTGGCAGCAGCGGTGGCTGCATCGTTCAATGATTTCTTCAGTGAGTTGTTCTGACCACTCAAGAGCTCTCTGTCTCTCTTTGCATTCTTCAAGTGACTATTGAACAACCTCCCCTCGTTCTCTGCTTTTCTTTGCTCGGATTCAAGGAGCTTGGCCAGTTTATTGTTCTCGGCGGCTATTTGCTGAACTACAGCATCAAGGTTATTCAACTCAGCCATCAACATTGCCTTTTCCTGGTCGAAAACGTTTTGAAGTTCGGCCAATCTCTGGTCCTTCTTCTCGATTATCCCCCCGAGGCTTCTAGCCAGTGCCTTTGACTCGTCGAAGGCATCCTCATAAGCCTTTCGAGACCTGATTGCGTCCTCGCGACCATCAATAGCATTGCGCAGTGCCGCTTTCACCTTCTCAACCAAGTCCATTGGACCCTCGTGCTTTAGTTCATCTGCGCCAGTCTTTGAGACCTTCTGAATCTCCTCCGCCAAAGCACGTGCGACAGCGGCCAAACCCGATTCGGCCTTCTTGAGTGCAGCTTGTAGATCCGATTTGTCTGACAAAGCAGCAGCTAACTCTGCACGGATTTGCTCCAATTGTTTGCCCACCACGTCTCGCTCTTTGATGACCTCGGGTAAGTCCTTTTCCAGCTTCTTCGCCCTGCTCACAAGATTTTGATAGGCTATCTGACGTGCACGGTCACGACCTTCAAACTCCTTCTTGTGCGATGCAAGCTTCTCCCGTAGCGATTCCACTTGGGCTTCCGAACGTTTCAACTGCGAATCAACGTCATTTTTTATCGTCTCCAGTTCTGAATGCTCCTTCTTTGCTCCGTCAAGACTCTCTTGAAGCTCCGACAGACGCGCGTTCAGCGCATTGACTTCAGCAGTGTGATCTTTATGAGACTTCTGCGTTTCAAGAGCAGCTTGCCTCGACTTATACTTTGCTTCCTCAAACAGACGCTCGTGCCCTCTTGCAGTCCTCTCGGCCTCAAGCAGATCCTTGGCCAACTGTTCAATCTTTTCGTTCTTCGCCCTGCTCTCTTTTTCGTGCAGATCACGCATACTATCAATGCGGGCTTCGGCCTTCTTCAAAGATTCCTGGGCAGCGTCTCGGATAGCCCCCACTTCCTCGAGTTCAAGCGAAGCTCGTTCTTGAACAGGACGGAGCGCATTGATATCAGCAAGGGCGGCCTTCAATTCTCGATTTGATTGCTCCAAGGCTGACGCGTCCTTTAGCTTTTGTTCCTCGGCTACGCGGAGCCGTTCTTTCAATGTCACGTTTTCCTTCAGGGCTTTCCGAGATTTCTTGCCGAGGTCGTTTAGCTCGGTGGTACGCTCGTCCAGCTGCTGCGAAAGTGCCACAGCAGCATCCCTCGACGCTTTGACCAGCCCCTGGTGAGTCTTGCTGAGATCCTGGTATCTGTCTTCAAGGTTTTCGAGGGCCAGCCGTCGTTCGTTCAAACTCTTTTGTAGATTCCTTATTTCCTCGTCACGTTTGTCGTCAACATGCTTGGGCAAATCTCGTGACGTAGCCATTGCAAGACTGTCAATCTCACGGCTCACTGCTCGTGGCTGTTGAGCGAGCTGGGCTTGCAGCTTTTCCTCTCGTCGTATTTGGGCTTTCAAGGAGTCGACTTCATCTTTCAAAGCGTCATTTTCGTCCTCCTTTTCTTCCAACTTCTGCTTGATTTTGTTAAGACCTCTTTTCGTGTTGTTCTGGGAAGCCTCCAGTTCTGACATTTCTGCCTTCAGCAAATCGACATCTTTTTTCTTTGCGCCTAAATCAGACCGGGCTGCATCAAGTTGCCTTTTGGCCTCCCTCTCGAGATCTTCCAGTCTGGACACCTCAGATCTCATATCCTTCTTCAGCTTGCCGAGCTCACCTCTAACAGTTTCGAGCTCATTATTTGTTTCGCCCACCAGAGCTTCCAGACGCGCAGTTTTCGTTTTCAATGACTCGTTTTCCTTCGTCTTCGCATCCAATTCCCACTGAAGCTTCTCCAGCTCTTGATCTTTGTTCATTTGCTGCCTCTTCAAGTCTTGGTTGCGATCAGAAAGCGCTTTCGTTTCTTGTTGAGCATCTTGCAACTCCTTGCTTATTTTGCTCTGCGTCTTTAAGGCGTTCTCTTTCGCTTCTTGGCTGGCAGCAACTTCTGACTTGAGTGTTTCGTAAGACTGTCTCACTTCGCGTTCAGTTTCTGCAGCCGAATCTTGAAGTTCCGCTATAACATTGGTGAGTTCAGCCTCTCTGGCTGCCCAAAACTCTGTCTGGGCTTCAAGTCTTTTCCGCGTTTCTTCCAGCTCCTTCAGCTTTGGCCCATACTCGTCAATCAGCTCCATTGACTCAGCCTTTGAAGCCTCCATATTGCTATTTTCCCTTTTCAATTTCTCGATTTCAGCTCGTAGATAGCCCCGCTCTGATTTTAGATCCCCCAGATCTTTTTCATGCTTTTTCTTCAATGTATCGTTCCTCTTGGCCAAATCCTCGATATCATCTCTGGCCTCAGAGAGCTCTTCCTCGAGTCTGGATACCTTCTTTCGGTCTCGATCGACCGCGCTCTGCAACTTGGATGCTTGATGTTTGGTCTCTTCCAGTTCAGCCAGCGCTTCATCCTTGGCGGCCTTGAGACTGCTTCGTTCGTTCCTCAAGTTTTGCACATCTTGGGCGTTTTGCTTTGTGTGCTCTCTGGCCGCCTTTCGAAGTTCCTCCACCTCGTCGTTTGCAGTTGTCAGGTCTTCCTCGAGGCGGCTAATTTCTTTGCGTTGCTTGTCGACCTCCCTTTGTGACTTCTTAAGGGCGTCATTCACTGCGTTCAGCGCTTCACCAGTTCGGTCATTGGCGCTCTCCATGCTTCTGTGCCTTTGCTGACCATCATCGATCTTTGCTTCCAACCTTGCCTTTTCCCTTTGAGCCTCCAGTGCGTTGGCTTCCAGCTGCGCGATGGTGTGCTTTTGTTGCTCAACTTTCCCTTCTAACTCCCGACATTTCCCAGTAGCTTCTCTCAGTTTCGAAGCAGCGTCATCCATCGCTTGCAACGCCTTTTCCGATTCGTCCCGCGCCACCTTCAAGTCATCACGAGCCTGTTCCAAATCACTCGTCACCTTTTCCAGTTTCTCTTGCGAGTCGTCACGATCCAGTTGAGCCCCAACCAGCTCTCGCTGCAAATTCTCATTGTCCCCTGCGAGTCTCTTGACGACATTGCTCGCTGTATCAAGTTTGTCCTGCGAATCTGCTAGCTTCCGTTCGAGGGACTTCTTTTGCCGATTGGCACTCTTGTTAGCTGCATCGAGTTGGGCTACCTCGCGTTGCAGTTTCTTCAAGTCATCCATTCCAGTTTCCAATGCCTTGATTTCACAATTGGCCTGGGTGATGCCTCCTTGCATGCTTTCGTGGATGTCTTTTAACTCGGAGATGTTATACTCAATCACTGTTTGCAGCTCGCCATGAGTCTTGGCATTGGCCGTCTTTGCTTTGGCTAGCTGTTTCAGCATAATGGCGTCAATATCTGGAAGTGGCTCCGCCGGATCGTCTGCTACAGAAGATGGGGATGCCAAACCCCGCGATGTCTGGCTCTTGTCGTTGCCACTTGCGTCCTCGCGTGCTTTCTTGAATAGGCCCACGACCTGCAGTTTGGTTTCGAGTTCTCCCAGCGTTTCCAGTGCCTCTTGGAGTTGATGGTCGGTTGTCGCGGCTAGATGTTGAGAGGACGCCAACTCCGCCTTGAGCCTATTCTTCTCCGTCCCGAGATCTTCCACGCGTTTCTTCAAACGATCGAATTCCCCTTCTTGATCCCCTAGCTGTTGTTCCAGCCGTTTCACTTTGCTGTGCTCCTCGGCCAACTGGCCCCCCTTTTCCAACAAGAGGTTCTCGTGTTTGGCTTCCAATTCGGACATTTCTTTTTGATAAATTTCCTCTAGCCCCCCCTGCTTGGCATCCAATGCCGCCAATTGCACCTCGTACCTGGCTTGTGCCGTCGCCAATTCTTTGGCACTCTCTGCTTGCTGTCGGTCGGCTTGATCCTGGAGCTTTCGTGCGTGCTCGGCTTCAAGTTGGTCCGAGTTTGCTCGCACTGCCTTGACGATTTCTGTTTGTTGTTGACTCGCCCGCTGTTGTCGTTCTTCCTCCAGTTCCCGTTGCAATTCCCGTACGCGCGGATCCGCTTGTCGCAACTGCTCTTGTAACATGGATTGCGGCGACTGCGATGCCATGAAATCGCGTTGCGCTCGATCTTGCGCCTCTCGGACTGCTGCATCCAACTTGAGTGTTAAGTCTTGCAATTGTTGATTCTTGTCGCGCGTAAGAGTTTGAATTTGGTGTTGATGATGAATGTCGGCATCGGCCCACTTTTGTTGCGCATGCTGGAGTTGCTTTTTAGTGGCGTCAAGGACGGATTGGAGCTTGGCCAGTTTTGTCTCCGAGTCTGGTTGTTGTTGCGCGCTGGTCGTCTTAGTACTACTCTTGGGTTGTTGTTGCATCTGTTTCTCCAGCGCCTCTTTGGCAGATCGCAATTGCTGATTTTCCGTTTGCAACAGGGCTGCCAGTTGTGCCACATCGCCCCCACTGACACTAGCTCTTCGCTTGGTGGCCGCCAGTTGCGCCTCGACATTTCGATTGCGATCTTCCAGTTTGGTACATTTGGTTTCCAATGCCGCTACTTGATCATTGACGCGTTTGAGGCTGTGTGCCATGGCCCGATTCTCGACTTCCAATTCCATATTCTTGTCGCGCAACTTTTCCATGGCCTTTGTCTGGTCGACAGCGGGCTTGTCAATTTGCAACTGCAATTTGCGAATCTCATGTTGCGCCGTGCGATAGTCATCTTGCAATGCCCGGTACTGGTCTTTGAGCGTGGTATTGTCGACGCGCAATTGTCGCATGCGGTCGTTCATGACTTGTCGATGAGAAACGGCTTCATCGCGAGCCGATTTGAGTTCTTGAATGAATTCCATGGCGTGTCCCAGTTGTTGCTCATCTTCTGCTTGAGTGAGTGATTCCAGTTCGTGTTGGAGTGCCGACAAGTCTCCCACACTGCTGTGCAATCGCGATTGTGTGGTTTTGAGTTCCGTTTGATTGAACTGTAGATCGGAGAGACTCTTGTGTAACTGGGATTGTGTGTCTTTGAGTTCCTTTTTCAACTTGGCATGTTCCTTTTTAAGGTCCATGTATTTGTGTTGGTTGGCTTCCGATTCGTCCTTGGATGGTTGCTCCTGAATGGGGAGTAACTGAAAGGACTGACTAGAGCCTTGCAAGGATGATGGAGTGGAGCCAGGGTCATGCTGCTGCTGATGCTGCTGCTGATAGTGTCCTCTTTGTACTTGGGATGGAGGTTGTGACTGACCAGGTTGATTTCTCCTCCACGTGTGCACTTGCGGTTGCTGTGGAGGTCTACCTGCTGCTGGCTGTCTAGCTAGAGGCTGTGGCTGATGTTGTTGTCTAGCTGGTTGTGGCTGATGTTGTAGTGGCTGTGGTGGTGGTGCTGGCCATGACTGATGAAACTGCTGCTGCTGAAGCTGATTTTGCTGTTCCATGGCTCTCATGAGTTCCCTGCTGGGATCATAGTTACTATTTCTACTGTTGGTGCTGCTGGCACTTGAAGGATTGACTCCAGCAAGAGACTGTAGGATTGGTCCAAACTGCTGCTGCTGAAGCGGGTGTGGCGGTGGAGCTTGAATCTGTGGTTGAGGTTGTCTCTGCTGTGTCTGTCTATGTGGCTGAGGTGATCTCTGATGTTGCTGCGGTGGAGCTTGTGCTGGTCTTGGTAGAACCGGTCGAAACTGTCTGGGTGAAAGGTTGGGTTGGACCGGCAAGTGGGTGTTCACGTTGGACCTTGGAGTTGGGGACAAAGCTCTCGATGGACTCTGTCGTTGCGATGGATACGCTGAACGCCCTCTCCGTGTCGGTGACTGCTGCGGATTCATCATAACGGAGCAAAGTGAAAGGAGCGAAGGAATGAGGGCTCCAAAGAGAGTGCTCTTCTTGACGCGGATCTGACGCTATGCTATACTATAGATTCCTCTGTTGCTCCTGCTTGCTATCACTTCCAATGATTCGATTCAAATCCAGCAACCCACTCCTCCTCGTTCTTGAAGTCGTACGCTTCCGAGTCCGAGAGTTGATGTATGAATACTGGTTTGCATGATGAGCACCTTCACTTACTTGAAAGAAGAAAGAACACCTGTGATGGATGGAAGAGAGGAGAGCCGCCAAGTCTTGGGAAGGCGCCAATTTTGGCCATGCTGATTTTTACATTTCTATCTCATTTTTATGTTTGTACGGCACAAAATAAGCAGAATGAACAAGCTTTCTTTCAAAATTGTTTTATGGGACACGTGCCGTCAATACTGGAAAGTAGCCATGGCACCTATCTCTGGCTATCTAGAGCAAGCAATCTCTCATGCAGCCAACCACTTTCCGGGAGCCTCCCATTTGTCCATGTGGAACCCTTTTTCGGTTGGGATCTCTAGCTAGCTAGATGTGATTGCCCTTCCAAACCTGGGCAAACTTCCAAAATCTCAGCTGGGCGAACTTCTCGCTTGAAGCCTCTGACTAACACCTGAGCTCATAGCGTAGCATAGCTTAGCCATAAAGTATCAGTGGCAGCCGGTTCTGGGCTGCATGTGGCCTCGAGGGGAGCTCTGCCACCGGGCATTCCGGCGAACCAGTGACTCACCCCTTCATCGCCACTAGCTAGAGGCAAGCTCAAAATAACAATGTCTCCCTGGATCATGCCGTGTTGCTGGCACCGAATGCATGGATGGAAAGTAACATGTGCGAATTGCTAATCTATGGTGTGGCCCTGCTCCCACGCCTCGGTTTTGCTGCTACATAGTTGTAGTCACCAATGTACTTGCCAGTCTCAAAAACAGCAGAGAGTGCTGAAAACACCAGTGAGATGATTGCCAGAGTTCTTGAGTCACCAAACGGGTCAAACCACTCATATTCATATTCATCTCCACCATGTCCGCGCCCCTTCCCACCAACTTGCGCCTGTGGCTCCCAGAGTTCTTTTACTGCCATCAGGAGACCGCCAATGTTCTCCAATACTTCTTCCAGTATTGCAAGAACAATCAGCCATTTGGGATTGTCTTCATAATGTATGCTGTTGTTATCACTGCTGGCATAGTAGACCTTGAATCTACCACCTGCCACCAAGTCCACAAGGAGAAAGTAATAACGCAAAGGGATTGCCATTCTACCAAAGAACAAATCCAGTCCGAAATGTCCATGAGGTGCTTCCGCCAGTGGGAAGTAGAATGACCGTGACAAGGATGCACGATGGGCAATGGCCAACAAGGGATCCAAAGGGATCAATACCACCCGGATGACCTTGTACACAAAAAACGGGAGGAGCAATGGCGTACAGACGCAGACATACACAATCATGCATGGGAACCACCAGTCAACATATTCCCCAAGCGCTTCCTGAATGGTATGGAAGATGCGATAGAAGACGCCATACTTGCCCAAGTAGAAGATGGCTTCACCGACAAACCGAAGAGCAATCGATAGGACAAAGATGAAGAATCCAGCCATCCACAGTGGGTCCCATTCTTCCCACCAATATACCTCGAATCCTCTGACCGCCACAAGCGCATCAGTTCCGAGATCGAGCATGGCTATTGTCTGAATGGTCAGTTCGATTGCTAACGAACAAACATCCCCACTCATCTTTCTTTATTTTTGTCGACTCGACGAAAGCATCAAGTTTGTAATAACGCACGCGAAAGGAAGTTGCTCCGATGGATGAGATCGAGATTTGTACATGTACCCGTATTAGTAGACTCTAGCTAGGGGCACCGCCAAGTGCCGTAACCCAACCGATGCTCCCCACACGTTAAGTTTCAGACATGGATACTCTACGTGGAGTCCCAATAAACCGATACATTGGCCAACAAGACTAAATTCAAACCAGTAGCGCTGTTGAAAGTTCAATCCTGCCCTTCACGCTGGAAGTTCCCCGATTAATGAGATAACGACTTTCCTGTGAAAGTCGCGAAAGTCGCGCGACTTTCGCGACTTTCGCGACTTTGGAAAGTCGCGCGTTTTTGGAACGACTTTCACCGCGACTTTCACGACTTTCGCGACTTTTCGCGACTTCGCTAGCATTTTACTAGTGATTAATCGCGACTTTCAACGACTTGTACCGCGACTTTCAAGACTTTCGCAAAGTCGCGCGACTTGACGCGACTTTGGACGCAACTTTAACGACTTTCGCGACTTTAACGACTTTCGCGACTTTCCACGATCGCCAATCGGGGGACTTCCTGGGTCTGGCCGAACGATGTTAGCCCTAACCCCATCCAGGAAACAGCGAAAGATTTCTTCCACGCTCCGCCATGGATCTTCCGAGCGAACGGCAGAGAAGTAAAAGAAACAAAGCGATGGACCATGGTGAAGATATTGTCAGGAACCGCCAAGAGCTCTCAAGCTGCTAACCCTGGTACTAGCAGTGGCAGTAGTAAGAAACGATGTACTCGACGAGATCTGATGCTTGGATTTTGGGTGGGCATTGCGTTGGCCGCCATTTACCTCAACACGAAGCGAAAACCCGTCATTCATGCAGCGGCTTCGACTACGACAAAGACCAAACGAACCAGTCCAGCCAGCAGTGGAGATACGGTACCAATCATGTCCAAAAGCACAACAGCAGAAGCAGAAACAGTTCCGGAACCTGCCACAACGGCAGAGACTACGACTTCCACGACGGAGACCACTACATCATCATCGCCCAAGATAGAACCGCCCGCCGAAACTTCATCCAGCACAACTAGCACCAGCTCGACTACTACTGGTACAAGTACTGGTAGAAGAACTATTGCTGGATTCACGCCAAAACCAGGACACAAAGATTTCCAAAAGATTGGAGCCAACGCAGGAACGGACAAGGTAAGCATCACTTGCTCAGGACGTGAATTTATGAGTATTCTGGGCAATGCTCATGAATGAATGAATAACACTCTTTTTTTTTTCAAACTGCAGGTTTGGGGAGCGGATACGTTTGAGCGCTGTCTACAAGATCAATCCACGTGTCCGACACCAGATTTCGACAATCCAAAATGCAGAACTCTTCAAGGTAAGTAAGAATGCGGCAAACAATTATATTTCATTGTCATTGTCATTGGGATATCTATAGAACCTATGTCCATCTGATTGATATCATTCCACTCAATTGACTACGTGACGTGACTTTGTTCAAAAGGCCACTTTTATCACACACTTTACAACCGATGGCTCGGAAATTACTCCTTGGATGATGCAGAACCATTCCAGTTTCTAGAGATTGGATTCTTCAACGGTAAGCAGTAGCAAACATGAATGGGAGATCTGTATGATGTAAATGCAGTGGTGTCATTCTGGATAGTTTCCCACACACAATCTACTTATTGCATACTCTTGATTACTAAATGTACGATGACGTGTTCTAATAGGAAGAGGATACGATGCGTACAAAGAATTCCTGCCCCGTGCCGAAACGCACAGTATTGAGATTGCCTGTCTTCCAGAAGGACCACGAGAGGAAGGGAAATGGCCGTGGGGTAATTTTGCCAAGGAAAACAAACACTACCAGGAATATCTAGACACCAATCAACTGCACTGTGGAGATGGTGCCGACTATGATTTCTTGCACGAAACGTGGACTACCCACATGAAACGTCCCGATGCTCCACCTCTCAAGGTCGTCGTGGATGATGCCGCTCATATTTCCGATCACATGGCCAAATCCGTCTTTTTTTGGTTCCCCAAAATTGAACCTGGTGGAATACTCGTGGTGGAAGATATACAACCCATTCATGAAGCCAACAAATTCCGAACCGACTTTTTACCACAAATGATGAAAGGTATTATATAACCGAGACGCCCGTGTATTGGCTTTGATCGGCACTGGAACTCACCACCTTTTTGTTTTCCGGCTTCTACTGCTGCTCACAGACCTGCATTATTGTGGTGATCCAAAGTTTCCCGACAAGGCATGCTTTCCCACGCTTTGGCCCCTGCTCCATTCCATTCACTGTGAAATGTAAGTTGCTCTGTCTCATTGTTGACTGCATGAGCATGTATCCATCATCAATTCCTTCATAACGGTACTGACGTGCTCCTCCCGAAACTCCATCATTAATTTGTAGGCACATTTGCGTCTTTGAAAGGAATGAAATGCCAGCCGTGGAATATGACATGGAACGATCCATTCCTCCTCCTCATGCGCTCAATGCGGAAGAATGTCTGCTCAAAGCAAGTGGTGGTGCAACCTATGGTTGATTTGATGTATTATTTGTGGGTTCCATCCATCCAGAGTACCGGCACTACAACACCCCTTTGACTACAGTAGTATTTTACCTCGGCCCTGTAATCGAGTGCGACTTACTAGAGATCAGAAATCAATTTTTTACACTCCTAGCTACTTGCCTTCCTTCCCACGGTCGTGCTCCTTCCCATTTCCCACACAACCACAGAACTTACTACATACTAGACGACTAGGTTGCTGGCGAGCTGACGAGCTACCTAGTACAGCACAACAGCACAGCTTCCAAGCACGCTTGTACATGTAGCCTTTCCTTTAGCTTCGATTGCAAACGGAGACTGAGTTTTTACAGAAACTGGAGATTGGAGGAAACTAAGGAATTGATGACTGATTGGTTTTACACCTCTCTTAGCGGGTATCAATCATATTTACCCCATCATTGCGATGTTCCGCTCGAGAATCAACTGGCAACATTTTTTGCCCATCGCGATGATGCGTGGTTGGGCCGCGAGTGCTAGTGTTGTGAACAAGTTTTCCTCTAGCTAGCTTTGATCGCTGTGTTGCGATCGACCGAAGCACAAACTTGACCATGAAATTAGGATCGATAGCGACGAAGTCCAAAACTGGTGGCTCCTTGGAAGCCAATGCTTGTACCACAGAGAGGAGCCCTGGAGCAAATGCTAATCATGTTGCCAGTGCCGCAGAGAGGACCTCTAATAGAGTCCACACAATTCACACAATTGAATTTGACTTTCTTCCAGCCCCACTTCCAATCGATCGTACTGCTGCTGCAACTATCTCTCCTCCGGGGGCTTTCCCAGTCTCAGGAACAGGAGGAGCCAGCAATTGTGGACCAACAAGGAGCCACCTTTCTGACCCCACTTTGCCCCCCAATCAAAACGACTTCGCCAGTCCTCTGGATGCCACGTTGGTAGAGCAGGAACCACAGCAACAAGAAACAGAACAAGTGCAAGTTCAGCTGCCAGAAGCTTTAAATGTAATGCCAATGAGCAGCGAAGCAAACGAATCATCATTGTCGTCATCACCATCCTCCTCCACTTTTATAAATACATGTTTCTTTGTGATAGTGGCTCTGATTGTTGGATTGGTCCTCTGGCTGTTAATATCAGAACTATCAAGCCAAGACTCAACGTCATCAGATCCAATTGTGGCCATTGGCACCTTCTCTGAACCTGTCGAGACCAACAGAAGCCACCACTACCTGCCATTTGACAGTTCATTGCATCCAAAGACACGCAAGGCCATTCTGGATGATCCAACAGGGCCTCAAGCTAGAGCAAACAATTGGATGTGGGAAGATCCATATCTTGACACCTATCCCAAGTGGCAGAAGATCCAGAGGTTTGCCTTAGCTGTTGCTTACCATGCCATGGAAGGAGACAACTGGTTTCGAAATGACCATTGGCTATCCTATGAAGTCCCTGAATGTGAGTGGTTCTCACAAAGCCCAACACCCTGTGGTCAGGATGGGCATCTTGTTCTTCAAGATTTACAATCAAACAATCTTGGTGGCACTCTGCCGATGGAGATTCTCCTGCCAGAAACCATCAAAGTTATGGATTATTCAAACAATCACATCTCTGGGTGGATGCCCTTTACACCATCGACAAACAAAATGGAAGCTATCATATTGTCAAACAATAGTTTTGAATTCGCCCTGTACTTTGCAGATGCAGATTTTGATCCCAGTTTCCTCCGAATTTTTAGGTTGGATTCTAATCAAATGGAGAGCAACAACTTACAGGTTATTGGTGTTCGTCACAACCTTGAGACTCTCAATCTGACAAGAAACCGCTATGGAGGGACCATTCCATTGAGGGAAGCAAGTCGTTCAGCAGCAAAATTGAGCTACTTGGGCCTCGGGGACAATCTGTTTGAAGGCACAATACCGTCAGAGTTGGGCTTGATGACCCAGTTGACTGAGCTCAACCTGTCAGGGAATTCCGCTGTTAGCGGCACCCTGCCAAGTGAGTTGCTGTTATTGACTTCCCTGTTGTACTTGGATATCTCTGGAACTACCATCACCGGCAGTATCCCCATTGACCTGTGCACTGGCAGCCTCAACCTCTCGATCATAGCAAACTGCAGCCAGATTCAGTGCTGTTGAATAGCTCTTCTTGCCAGGAATGTTGGTTGAACTGGCAGCCTCAGAAAGGCTTGCATTGTGCCATGACTAAAAAGGTCAAAACCGGGACACCATCGCGCACGTTTTGCTTGCTTGGTTCACCATGGCGCACGGTACGCTGTGCGATCTGCGCCTATTGTTCTTCCTCACTCCACACAAATGCCTCCCGTTGGAGAATGAGGGATGGATCATCAAGACATGAGCAAAAGTCGCCATCACGAAACCGTGGTCCACTTAGTCTTTCTTCTCATCAATCCACCAGCTAGCTACGAGTTTTGCAGGTAATTTTTCCATGCTAGATAATTGTTAGGTTCAAATGGAAAAAATAGAGCAAGCCATGCTTTGGCGCCATGGCGCTCCTGCAAACACATGTCAACGGTGAGATAGAGCTGTTAGAAGACAACATGTGCAATATAAGAAAGCTTCAACAAATATGTAGAAAGGCACTCACCATGGCGACAATAGCTCAAAGGGCTCCTCGACCACCACAGCGACGGCAGCTTTGATACCCTTGGAAAGCGTCATTCCATGTCATCTCCTCCCTCCATCCGCTCCGACTCTGTTGGATCCTCTGTTGGGGCTTCAGAGGTATCATTCAAGCCTTGGATAAAGGCATTCCTCTCCTCCGCACCCAGAGAAGCGATCCAGGACTTGGCTTTTGCCATTGCCACCTCCTTGTGCCGTCCAAACTCAGTGTCGTGGAGGCTCATGTTGGTGGCAATCCGTTCCGCGAGAGCTGTGAGCTCTGCTTCTTTCTGTTCCGACCAAGGCTCCACTGCGTTAACGACAACATCTTTCAGCTCCAGCCATCGAGCATCCTGTCATCTTTCTTTGACAGTTTGATGGGCAAGGGTGTTCGTCTTCCAAGCAATCAAGTGTTTCAATTCATCACCTGTCAGTCTGCTCAATGGCTTTTCCAACTCCATAATCGCCAATCCCTTCTGTTGCCGACTCCAGGAAGCAACATGAACCTTCTTTTCTTTCTCCAAAGCCTCCAATTGCTTCCGGAGGCGAGATCTTTCATCAGCAATGAGGAAATCGTCATCGTTCAATGCTGCTCCTCCGGTCGCCTTGAAGACTTGGCCTTGTGTTGCGGCTGCTTCCAATGCGTCTTGCCTTGCCCTTGAGCGTGGAGCTGTCACTGCTGCAGCTCTCTTTTGCTGTTGGAACTCCGGGGCCTTGTAACGCAGCAGGTCGCCATTATACCCAAAGCTGTCAAGGATCTGACAGCACATCTCATTCTTTTGATTCAGCTCCTGAAGATACGAGGCGTTTGGATCAATGCTGTCATCAGCTTTGCCTTCCGCATCAACAACACACTCAGACCGAACCTTGGGATCTGCAAGAGCCTTCCGTGAGAAGATAGGGTAGACACCGAGCTTGTCATTCCAGCAGTGTTGGACTCGCGGAATAGAAAACGCTTCTTCAACTGCGTTGCGAAGAAGCGGAAAGGAAGGATCCAAAGCGTGTCGCCGTGCACTGCCATAGCACAATAATCCAATATCACTCCGTGTGATGGAATCTGTTTCCTGTGGTGAGTTCTGGCGATGCTCCCAGAGCAACTGAAGATTCTCAAAGAAGACCATCTTGAATAGACCAAACAGCATGTCCATTATCTGAAGGATATGGGTGGTATTGGGTGGTCCGGATGGAAAGAGATAGATTCCAAGTGAGCGCAATTCAATCAACATCTCTTGGTTTGTTCGTCCTGGACCACCATCTACAAGCAGAGTTGATCGCTTGCCAGGCACATCAGATGTGTCTTCCACTATTAATGGAACATAATTGCCTCTTGTCCACTTGCCAAACTGTTCTTTGTTCATTCCACCCTTCTTGTTAACACCATAGGTAGCAGACACCTGCTTTAGTTGCCCTTCAGCAAGAAGATATTGTGCTTGTGTGACCAGCATATCCACAATAAACTCTGCCGGAACGACCATGTCCTTCTCATCTTGTGCGTCGGATGGGATTTGAAAATGCTCCGGCAGCTTCTCCCCGGAGGCAAAGGCTCCAGCAAGGAGTGTGCAATGATAAGAGCTCTTGTGGGCTTCGTAGATAGCTTCTCCCTGCAGTCTTGGATTATAGAACTGCATTGGTGGGCGTCCACCCTTCTGACTCTTGGTGTCGTCCAATGTCAAACCAGACTCATCAATGTTGGCAATCCTCCGTCCTTGAGTCTCGTCAACCCATGAAAGCTCCCCTTTCGTTTCCACATCTTCAGTGTTCTCTGTGGCAGCTCCAATGTTGATCAGGTGGGCTTTGAACGAGTCGAACCAGAGGTTGATATTGGAATAAGTTGCCCATTGAGTCCGTCGCTTCTCGACACGATTTGCTTTTCCACACTCCAAGACGTCCCCAATCTCTTTCTCTACTCGTTCAAGGAGCCACCGCCCTTGCCGTTTACCAAGTCCTTCTTTCTTGTTGACACAAGCATTCAAGAGTTTGGAAAGACTTGACTTGTCTGGACTTGGAGAGAGAGAGCTGAAAGTTTCCACAGCGCCACACAATGCTTTGAAGCCTAGAGGATCAATTCTTCCTTTTGGACCGCGTCGCTTGGGACTCTTGCCAGCATCTCCACGCTTCACCATGTTGCGAATGGTTTTCCCAATGGACGCTCTGTACCGTGTTCCGCATTGTATTCTTTGGCAATAGTTTCAGCGGACTTTGGATATATTGTGAATTCTTCGTTTTCTTGTGCTTCCTTCATGAGCAGCTCCTCCTTCCAGAGAAGAGATGCAACCTTGTAATGGGCGTTGTGCGAGTCTCGTGCCATCTTTTGTTGTTTCCGAATAGCGGCTGCCTGACGGCCCGTAAGCCGACTACTTTTGGCCAGTTTTTCCTTGAGGCTTTTCTCTGCAGCTTCTCTCTGTTGCATTGACAGTTGTGGTGGTGGCGGTGGCTTGTCCGATGGTTTCTTTGCCAAGTCGGCCTTCGATGCTCTTGCTTCCGACTTGAATTGCCGTGAACGACGGCGCACTTTCTGCCGAAGATTTGGGTCCTCTTTTTGTGGAGTATCCATTCCAGCCCAAGTCATAGCCTCCACAACATTCATTCCCCTCGGCTTGGCAAGCATATGGATGCCTGCGGCCCGTTCAACCTTCCTTTTGAGTGGCGTTCCGTCCGCCATGGTGGAGATATCACAGCGAAAAGAGTAACGAACGAACATTGTCACTGCGTTGCTTTATCTTCTATATCTAGTAATGATATTAGTCTATCTTCTTTACGTTGGATCTTGGTGTGCCGGAGGTTGCCCATCTTCTCTGGACGAAACCATATCATTGCCCAAAGGTAGAGTGATCTGGGTATTAAGACCGACCATTCCGCGGAATATTCTCTTCAGGTCTGTATATCGAATATAGTACATGTAAAGAGGGGAATCGATAGAACACATGTAGTTGAGTATGCCATAAATCTCGCAGCCTCATAGTGTACTTATTGGTGGAGTTACGGGCGGTTGAAGATATCCATCCAACTGACACGAATTCTTTTTCTCTGCACATTAAGACCGAATGACGTCAGTCGTGCTCTAGTACTGAATCTACGTAGGATCCTACGCGGTACCGGTACGCGGTATCTTTCGCACCTCTATCGAAGCTCCCGTAGAGGTGCTTCGCACCTCTATCGTCTATCGTCTCTTCGCACATGCATAGAGGTGCGCACCTCTATCGTCTATCGTCTCTTCGCACATGCATAAAGCACCTCTATCGAAGCACCTCTATCGACACTCCTTCTATCGACACTCCTTCTTCCGTACTGCATCTATCGTTCGTCTACCGTCCAGGCTATCGACACTCGTTCCTCTCAAGATGGCCGTTTCCGACAGCAGTGACGATGGCATTGACGAAGGCATTGACGAAGAAGACGATGGCATTCAGGACGAGTACGGATGCATTGACGAAGAGGATTACGTACGATCATGATAGGGACTTCCAGATCAAGTACGTTGACCATTACAAGCAGGCTAACGTTACGGACTTCTTCAAGCAGAAAAGGAGACGCGGCAGGCCCAAGAGATCGACTCTTTGCGAGTGAGGCCGTTCCTGTGAACGGGATTGGCACTCACCGATAGTTTGGCTCAGATCGACGAGCTACACAAGAAGCAAGCAGTGGAAAAGAAACGCCAAGCCACAGAAAGCCTCAACAGCTTGGCTCCAAAGGCAAAGGAGAAGCTCGGGCGAAAGCAGGTTGTTGCTTCCCTGACTAAGCCCGAGATCGTTTCCCTGTTGACAGTCTACTTTGGGTCCAAAGCGGACACCAAATTGGCGAAGGGAAGCCTGGTAATTGAATTGGAGAACAGGATTGAGTCCAAGCCTGATGTGCTACAGGTACAGTTGAAGCCTAAAGCAGCTCCAGTAGTTGCTTTGGCTACTGGAATGCCCTAGTTTCAGCCAGGTCTTAAGCTATATAGCCATAATAATAATATAGTCTTAAGGTATCAGCCTAGAATATTACAATAGTCTTAATCTCCTGCGGGTCTTAATGGGCAGATCACTCTAGGGAAACGATTTTGGGGTGTGAAATGGAATCGGAAAGATTTGTGAGGGCCAGTTTTATAGCGGTGGCAGGCTTCCCTGGCTGGGGTGACATGGAAAGGGAAAAATTACTCGTAAATCCTGTAGCTAGACTACATACATGTTGTATCTTTGTATCTTTGACTTCTTGGTTGCCGAAGAACGAAGAACCATGTACTAGAGTAGTCAACTTACGACTTGGAGAGTTTTGCGCCGGTGGTGCATGACCTCTATCGCTTTGCATTACAACCTTTCTTCTATGTATTGATAGGAAGGACCACAAATGCGTTAGGGTGTTTCTAGAAAGGCTCGTACTCAGTGTTGCTCGTATTAATAGTACCAGGTACCTCTATGGCCTACTCAGAGTCAGTATGGCCGATGGCTTTACACTTTCCGTAAATATCTACAAAAACAAGAATAGAGTCGAACATCTTGAGGCTTCTCAAGAAGCTTTTTCACGCGCGGAAGCATTTTCTACAGTGTCAACTAAAACGTGGCAACGCTGTAATCGTACAGTACCGGTACAGTACACCGTACCGGTACATGTAACGTTCTTTCTCACTTTAGGAATCCGAATGCTTCTTCCTCTTACAGTCAACAGTCAAGTCAACCAGTACATAGTACATGTAATTCCAACACTACGAGGTGTCGAGATAACCACACATTCCAATGAGCACTACTAACGGCATGAACACTGCCTTCGGTACTTTGGTGCTCATTCAGAACATTGTGAACAGCCATCATAGAATAGAGTCAATGAACTTTTCTCCAGAGACGCAGAACCAATGCGGTGCGGAGGGAGAGCGGTCGGTTGATGGTGATACCATGGATGAAAGCTTGATGGAGGCTCTGGTCGCACATAATAGTTCAAGCGCTCCGACGACCAGGAACGAAGAAGCAATGCTTGTTCCTGAAGAGTCCGAATCAAAAGGTCTCAAAACTCATCATCAAGATCCCGCTCGATCTGACTGCGTCAAGAGGCAGAAAGAAGTGCCAACACCGGCGGATTTCTTTCCAGAGAGAGCAGGTCTTGTGCCGGGAGGACTGGCGGCGGTGGGCGTTACGGAGGTTGAGGAGGAAATGCCCGGGGCTTACGCGGTTGCTGGCATGGCGTCGTCGGACGAAAACCCTGACAGTGCTCAGGCAGTGGAAAACTGTCCAGAAGAGTCGTCGACTCGTTGTGGAGAAGACGAGGAGACGGGGCATGCAGGTACCGGTACGCACGTGACTGTGGCGGACGCCCCCACCTTGGCCGAGGCCCTTCCAGTGGAAGACGCACCTACTGATTTGCAGGTTGCAGAGTCCATTCGTGTAGAAACTTCTACGAAGCGAGACGTTTGGGTCTTCATGCCTTATGCAAAAGTGCTTGTGGCGTTGCTGATTTGCGTGGTGGTCGTCGTTGCGATCGTCCTGGGCGTGAAAAGCGGTTCACCCCATGAAGAAGAGACCAGTGGACATGCCGAAGAGCTGGCCATACGAATGATTGTCTCGAATGCATTGGAAGACCCAAGCACTCTACAAGACGTAAACTCGCCCACGTTCAGAGCACTGGATTGGATACTCCATGTGGATCCCATGCAACTTGGCTTTGATTCTCCCAACCTATTACAGCGTTTCTTCGTTGTCCTGTTCTACTTGAGTACCACAGAGGAAGGACCATGGGTGGACTGCAACCCAGGCGCTGACTTGACAGTCGAGGCCAACGACCTGATATGCCACCACCGAGTCGTTCGTGGGGCATTTGAAGTTGGGCACGTGTTCTACAACCACCTTCTGTCCCCACACGATGGAACGGTGGCAACTCGTTGGCTAACTGGCCGACATGAGTGTCAATGGGCAGGTCTCTATTGTGGCAACAACAGTAGCAAGATCGAGTGGATGCAGCTTGGTAAGTGGAGCTTGACAATTTAATAAAACTTGCTACCGGTACAAAGGTATCACAAAGCAATGACTCATTGCTTGTCTTCTTCTTTCGTGTGAATGAAACAGATGCAATGAACTTGACTGGCACTATCCCTGCAGAGTTCTCGCTCCTGGACGAGCTCAAAGTGGTTTCACTCTCTGGCAATGGTCTATATGGCACTCTACCAGAGTCATTAGCAGCACTTCGACACCTCCAAGTTATCCATCTTTCGGACAATGCCTTTGGAGGGACAATTCCGCCCGACTGGTGGAATATTCACACCCTGCTCCACCTGGATCTTTCCTATAACCCACTGAACTCCTGGACGATTCCCTCTGCGATTACAGCCTTGTCTCAATTGGAGTACCTGATTCTGACGGACTCTGAGACCACAGGGACCATACCAGCTAGTGTGTACCAACTGACCAATCTGCGTAAGTCAATTATTGATCTCCATGAGTTGCTTCGAGTTCTTGGCTTGACCATGATCGCTCATCTAAATGTGTTTTCTTGCATTACTTTTGTCATTATGAATGACAGGATACCTTGCCATTCGCTACAACGACATTACAGGGACCATTTCCAGTGAGATTGGTCTGTTAAGCAACTTGGAAGTGATGTCCTTCAAGCACAATGTGTTTTCTGGAAGTCTTCCTTCCGAGGTTGCCCAACTGAGCAATCTTTTGGAACTGGACGTGTGGGGCACTGGCTTGACAGGGACCATTCCAGAAGAACTGTACTTTGCGGACTATGCCGGACTCAATGCACTCATTTTGGGCTACAATCAGTTCTCGGGGACAATAAGTTCCAACCTTGTTCGATTGTCGCATCTGAGCTATCTGCTACTGACGCACAATCCCTTGCTGGTGGGTACACTCCCCTCCGAGTTGGCTCTGATGTCGTCCTTGTACAAGATTACGCTGGATGGGACGGGGTTGACCGGTTCCGTTCCAGCCGAACTTTGTGCCCAGCGTGGGGAAATGATTCTCGGCCGCGTTAATGCCGATTGTGAGACTCTGCCCGACGGCACCACTCCTTTGTTTTGTCCTGTTGGTTGCTGTACCAAGTGTTGCAATAGTGAGACGGGTATCTGCACGAAGACTGGCTATTAGGGCAGCTCTAGGCTAAAGACATGCTGGCAGGCAGAGAGAACACACTTTTCCCTCTGTCCGTGACATCTATCATGCTGGTTGAAATTGGCTTGCTGGCAAAAACTTGTAAATAGGCATACTTCATTGACTTTTTGCTCAGGTTCACATCATGTAATCGAGTGTTGGCCCTATGCATCCTCAGCAGATACTAGTACATGTATCATTGAGCATTTGTATTCCTGTTTCTTCTCTGCAGCAACAGCATGAGCCATCGCTGATTTCGAAAGTCAACCTACATGTACTCAAAGGATAAAGGACAATGAACTGGCTGCCTGACTGGACTACATGTAGCTAGAGATGCTGCGTGGTACCATTCGCATGGGTACGGTCACGCTATCTACCGGTAGGTTGGGGTGCGTGCTCATCTGGCTGGTACCGTACCTGTAGATACTAGAGCGAGTGAGCTTGGCCTCTACGATTATGACAGCTTGATTGAACCCGCACCAGTTCCTCGTGACTCGGACTGCTCAATGGAGGTGCGGTCGGTGGGTCATCTACGAGTATGCTACTAGTAGGTTTCGGTGCTGACTTAGATTTACTCGGTTGCTGGCATGACGAGGAGCTCGGTTAGCTATTGGTAGCTGCCATGTCGTGGTGGGAGTCAAGATCCGCAATGACCAAGCTTGTACTGTTTTTTGTATAGTGTATCTTTGCAGATCCACAGGCCACAAAATCCTTCGATTCGAGCTTTTTACATGCTGGGCTGCTCATTTGTTGCCCTCACTCATTGTTTCTCCACAACAAAAAGCATCTAATTTGGCCAACCGCAATCTGTAAGGAAGACCAAGATCGATCGAATCAAAGCTAAACCACACATAACCATGATGCGAGCATTAATCTTCTTTGTTCTAGTCCAATCTAGTTTGGCACTCAAGATTCTGTTGACGAACGAGGCCGGGATTGAAGACGAAGGGTTGACGATTCTTCGCGACGCCTTGTTGGAGAGAGGCCACCATGTGTGGACGTTTGCTCCCAAGGATGACATGACGGGGATGGGCGCCGCTCTTTCCATGCCCAATGTCAAGGTAAAAGCTCATGGCAAGGCAGAGGAGAAAATGTGGGAGGTGGACGGAACACCCGCCACCGCCGTCTTGGTGGGCGTCTCCAAGATGACCCAGAAAAATTCCGAAACGCACAAGCCCATGCCAGATCCCGATTTGGTAAGAACACAAGAAACAGTTCTGATGAAGATGAGATAACAACAAGTGTGCTTGCCATCCGTGTTTTGTTGCCTGTGAGATCTCATTTATTTCTGTTCTTTTGGTAACCTCAGATTATCTCAGGTATTAATGTTGGTTACGCCAGTGGTCCCATGGATATCCATTCCGGTGCCGTCTCGAGTGTCTTGACAGCATTGGGCAAGGACATTCCTGCCTTTTGTATCTTGACGAATCTCGCACAGGACATTGACAAACTGGAGCACTTTGAACACGCTTCTGTCTTTGTCAGCCATTTGGTGGACGTCTTGGTGGAGCAAATGGTGGTCTTCCCCATTGGAGTGGGGCTCAAGATTGGTTACCCCGCCAAGCTTCCCAAGGATATCCCTCAAGTCATTCTAGCTGGGTACGGACACTACAACCCCTTCAGCTATGGCTACTACGAAGACCCGGATCGCAAGGGAGTCTTCCGTATCGGACCTGCTCCTTCGGCCCAAAAGTTCCACGAAGACAGTGATGCCCACTTGGTGGAAGCTGGCAACATTGGTGTCTTGGCCATTTCGAATGACGTGAGTTTGCACAAGTTGGACGACAACGCCTACTTTGTGGACGATATTGCGCACGTTTTGGCAGAAACAGACAGTCGCTGGGAACGTCATGAAAAGTCCGAGTAAGTTGAGAGGGTTTCTCTGTGAGTGGAACAGAAGTAAATGAGGAGGTTTGCTCCTTGGGTCGATCCATGGTTGCGTCGGTATCGCAGCTTGTTTTCGCGGACCACAGTGTAGCGGCGAAACGACCAAGTAGTAGTTAAAACAACAAAACATAATTGCATGCATATTCAAGTAATGATGTACCGGTCTGCTTTAGATAGCTACATACTGTCAGCTTCTGATGGAGGTCCTGTCTCTTGCTGTCTCATGCAGCTGGAGCTTGGGAGGCCCCTATTAGAAGCACGTTTTCCATTGCGCCAGCTTGACAACACACGCACTTCTGAACAATCACAAGCCGCCTTTGACTGGTCCGCCGTAGGTTCAATGCTAAGCGGAATATTGCTGGTTTCTATGGGTAATCGATTGTTTGTACGAGTACATATTATGTACTTTTGGGGCTAATGTTCAAAGATGATTCGATTCAGTTTATCGCTTCTTCGCCACCACTGCCCGCGACCACCAACGCAAACAAGACGGCAACATAGTATCCAATGGCAGCAGCATCCACAAGATTCTGCTCTCCTGCATCATCTATTCAATCTACCGCAGTATTGGTTTTATGGATCCACTCCTCTCAACATTCTTCGCAGGGTGAGAATGTACCGTACGTTGAATTGTCGTTCGGGAAGAACAAAACTACTGGTAATGGGCAGAATGCTGACATAACCGGCATCCACGAGCGCCGTTTCACTATCGGGGTCCACTTGCTCGTCTTCATTCATAACGGGTGAAACTTGCCAAAGGGTCGGATCAGCCGTGGAAGGTGTGTACCCAAACGACAGTGGTGCATCGTCTCCATTCTTGGCCAACTGTACTCCAATGACATCTTCGGGTTGGAGAGGAGGATACGTGACTTTCAATCCAGCTCCCGGCGCCATGTCTTCCAGTGGAATGGTGGCGACCCACTGGGTGAGGAGCCGGGCTGTGAAATCCGCCACGTACGCATAGTAGACTTCCTGTACGACAATGGTGGGATTGGTGGACAATCCGGCCACGACAATGGTAGGAAAGCCTCGTCCCATGGCCGTCAAGGCGGCACCGACACTACTGGAATGGAGCGTTTGAGCGCCCGTGGCAAATCCATCGGAAATACCGACAATGACCACGTCGGGTGGACCCACGGCAAAATTGGTGGCAATGGTGGTGGTGGAATCGGCAGTGGAGGAAGCAGTCGTTGTGGTGGTAGTAGTGTTCATGAGAGACAATCCGGCAATGACACAGGTGGCGGGAGGTCCCACGACAATGGTCTGTTGATCTTCGAGCGGTACAAACGGCACACTGAGTTGAACACTGGCACTGATGCCGGATCGATCTGCCGCCGTTGCATAGACAAAGACATCGTGTCCATCTTGAATGAGTCGACGACGCAGGGTCTGCAATCCCGGTTTGTCCAATCCATCGTCGTTCGTCAAGAGAATACGCAAGGCACTGGTGGTTCGGCTAGTACTGCTGAGCAGGAGTAGACACAGCAGGAACGTAACGCTCATCAGACTGGATCTTGTCCTTCTTTGTGCTACTCGTTGCACTCGCGGTCGTTTTCGTCCTCTCATGGTCGTTGCTTCTCGACGTGGGGTACTGTCTTCTTCGCAAGGGTGCAGATCGTGGTGCTTGTGCTTGTGATGGCGATTGTACTGCTGTTCAGACTCTTCTGGCACTAGTAGTGGTCTATGCACCTTTGGTGGATGCAGTACGCGAAGTGGTCTCTTTTGTCTTTTGGGCATCAGTCTCGTCGACTCAGACTCTGTTCCGGATGGGAGTGGTAAACCACAACGGCTCGAACACTTCGTCTGCTTCTTCGTTGCCGCCATCTCCAACAGCAATGATGCCAGTCTCAAGTTTACCGGTACAGCTTCAGGTCGTGTCCGTTCACAAAGATGAGTCTTCCCCTTGGCTCTTGTCATGGTTCCGCAGTTTCGTTGTATCAATTATCGGTTGCCTCAACAGCTCGATTGATTCTGGTCGAGAGTCAAGAGAGGTGGTTCGTAAACAAGAGCCGAGGTGCGCTAGAGGGAAATCCGATTTGCAAGACTGAAGATGGTTACATAGACAAGAATTTGCTTAAATATGTTTGGTACTTAGAAGCAGGGCTCTAAGTAATCATATTCACGTCACATTTCGAATTTCAAAAACAAGATTCATCACTGTTATTAAGAATTGCCACAGTTTCCGGGAGATCTGATGATCTCTAGCTCTAGCCAGAGAGGGGACCTCCGCACCTACCGTAGCCTGTCGAAAACCTCTAGCCAGATAGCAAGCTCTGGCATCATGTTTCTATAGCAAGCTCCAAGCCAGAGTCTGTCCTGGTACCTGCCTATAGCTAGCTAGAGTTGATGAGGAGAGAGATATTCTCTTAGCCTTCACTTTGCAACAAGCAAGTTAGTTATGCATGCTTTGGAGAAACCTATTATCTTTTTAATAAAGCGGATCGAACTTTTGTTGCATGATCATGCAGTCTCTATCTCCTGTGCTCAGCGTCGTATGTATTGGCCAGCCAGAAGCCTTTTTCCTTGGCCTGCCTCACCTTTCTTTTGATCCATCCCATGATTAGCTACTTGGGTAGCCTGCTTGACTAATAAGTAAGCTAACTTGCTATTGGTGTCTGTAGCTCCATGGTTTCCAACATGACGGCGAGTCCTCCTAGAAAGTTTTCATTGTATTTGGTCGCCTTGAGTGAGACATCTGCTTGAATGGGTAGCGCCGTAATGTATCCATCCCGCACCAATTGGGAATCGCTCTGGGCCAGACTGTTGCTATCTTCGGTTGTAGCACCATCTGTAGTACTGGTGGAATCCCGTACAAATACGATATTGGCTTCGAGTTGATTGGGTACCGTGTCGCTGAGCACGTAGTCAAAAGTGACGAAAAAGTAATTGTTGTTTCCCGCCAGTACCACTCCTTGCACAGCATCGGGTGTTTCTTGGCGGGGATAGATAATCTTGAGACCGACTCCAAGGGGGAATTCGGCAAAGACGTCTTCCAACGTATCGACCAACTGGACCACAAATTGCGCCACATTGATAAAGTAGGAATCCGTGACTTCTTGGGGACTGTCCGTGAGAATGGCCAACGAAGGGACGCCCTTGGAAAGACCCGTCAAGGCGCCACCCAGTGTTCCCGAATGCCAATCTTGACTTCCACTGGTGTATCCATCGTTGATGCCACTAATCACCAAATCGGGAATCCAACTGGCATCCAACAATAGTTGCATTTGACTCAACCCTACCAACACACATGTCGCGGCGTATCCATCTACCTCCCATTCTTGACTATTACTGGATGCGTCACGCTGTGTCACATTGACCACGGGCAAATCCAACGCCGCACTGGCACCATTCAGACGAGTCGTTGGAGCAAACACAAACACATCGTGGCCTGCCGCTATCAACGCATCGCGCAGCAACGGCATGCCATTGTCCGAATACCCATTGTTGTTGGTCAAGAGAATTCGAAGAGACGATACTGGCAAAAACACACAGCAACAAAAGAGAAGCACAGATAGAAACAGGGCATGGAGTGGCATCGTCTTGTTGGTGCTTTGCGTTTGCGTTGCGTTGCGTTGCGTTGCGATACGGAGTATATTGCTGCTGATGAGAGAGATGATCAGAAGAACTGGGATGCTGAACTGTGGAAATACCTTGGTCTTGCTTCCAGAGATAGCCTGAACCCTAAAGAACCGTACCTCCAGATCTTGCCAAGCAACGGAAATCCCACTGGCACCGCACCCACCATAGCGTACGATACCCACTCAAAGAATCTCCGAATCTTCAGAGGTTTTTGCATCCTCAGGCATTGGAAGCAAGTGTTCTGGCTACTAGCTAGGCTCACTCACTCGTTCTGCTATCGAGATGAGCACACACCCCAAACCTAGCTACTACCGGTGGCGTGATGGTCGCCATCTAGCTAGTGCTCTGGCGTCCCCATGCAAAATTTTACGCAACATCGAAGATGCATGAGGGTACATGCCACTGTTTTTTCATTTCTTTAACCTAACTTTTTGTATGCTGATTATACACAGTTTGCGCCTGGCACAACCAACAATACCGCACTTCACAAAAGCAAACGAGGCCGAGAAAACACACGCACACAGTTTGCCTTCGTATCCACAATTCCTGACTTTTTCTTCAGTCTTTCCACAACTCTTTACTTTTTTGCTGCCGTAGTTGTATCCACGTCTATCTGTCGATAGCTAGCGAAGCTAGTCCATGCTTTCTTCTTCCATAAGGATCTTGCAACACAGAACGCGCTCTCCCTCCTTGTTCAGGTCATGGAACACAAGAGAGGACCACACTCCGGCATCTCGCACTGTGTTGTCTGCTACAAAGTCTTGCATCGTTGCTCCTTGCTTGTCCCCTGTGATGGTCAATGTGGCGGTCCAATCGTTTTGCACAACCAATGCTCCATACTTGCCACTACGTAATGGATGATAGTACCGTACAAGACAAAATGTGAGTGGATTGTTATGATTCATTAATTGTTCAGCCAGATCGGCAGTGATGGGTCTGAGCGACGACGCACGCCCGAAATTCCCTCACTTGCTTCTTACCTAAGATCTCCCCTTTCACACTTATAGGGATGATTGGTATTGCATTCGTAGTTAGCGTTGGTGCATTGTGAATCATCCTTTGCTTCACTGGCAGGCCCACATTTGTAGGTGGGATCATAATGGCCACCTGTAAAGTCAGCTCCACACTCGGTGAGTGAAGAGTGAGCAGCATTGACCCATGTAGTGTGAAGATGATAACCAAGCGTGTCTCCAACGCTGTCGACAACATCATCAAGGTTGTCGAGATCAAGTTCCAAAGACATTCGACCGTTCTGCAACTTGATTTCACCGTCGCCGTAAACGCCACAGTCGATTTCCTGTATAGTTAGTTAGGGAGCCGGGAGGTCCGATCGTTCAGCTAAGGCAGATACTGGTATCGTCAAGCACCAAAGACCTAATTTCACGACCGTACTTACATATTCTGCTCGCGGCTGGGCTGAAGAGAAGACCGCAAGGGAAAAGAAAGAAACGGCGCTGATGGCGAACTTCATGGTTGGAGCGAGTATCGGCTGGCTAGTTGGTTGCTGGTGGGAGCTTTGCGGCTTTCTGGACCTTGAGAATTGAATTGTGAGCTCTATGCTTCGTTGCTTGCAGCACAAGCCGAGTTTCCGTGCCAGCGCCCAACCTCAAGAGCATTAAGAGCAATGCAGCAAAACACTGAACAGCTACATTGCGCTTGCGGTTGCTGGCTTGTCTTCTGGTAGGGACGCTGCAGATTGGCTCATCAGGAAGTAGATCTTGATTGATGTGAGACAGACAGCGTCTACGGTACCGCTACCATTCAAAACTCTAACTCACTGGTCCCATCCAGATACAGTTTCGTCTCCCAAGTCGAGTGACAGTCCCACTTGCAGTTTCACCGGTTAGTATTTTCCTTGAGAAAAGCAAAATGCGTACATTTGTAGTAAATGATTGCAAATGGATCAGTATTTTTATTGAAAATAGTTTTGCTCTGATTTCAAAGCATACACCATCATGTAATTTCCCTTCTACTGGCTAGCTAGCTAGTACTACTACTAGGTCCAACGGCGGTTCCAATACGCGCGGTACGACTGTACCGGTACCGGTACGCACCTCTGGCTAGACCAGATCTCCAGCAAAACAACGACCAAAAGCGACACAAGCTACTGGTAGACAGACAATATCACTCCAATAGCTCAATCGCTCGTTTGAACTTTTGATGTAGATGCATGGTGCGGTACCGCTAGTACCGGTAGCCCTACTGAGAGCTATGATAGCAAGCCAGTGTTGGTGCAACAGGTAGAAAACTACAACTCTCGTGTCTGGCCAAGTGAAGATCCAGACGCTCGCATTCCTCGCTATGGCTAGTTCTACAGTCGTACGGCTCCTGCTGCTGCTTGTTCGTCATCTTCAGTTTCGCAAGATTGCTTGGTCCTCGGATGGAAGAGGCAGGGTTACAGGTTCCGGTACAGCCATACCTATGTTCCGCCAGAGCAAGCAGCCAACCCAAGCAAGAGGTACTCGGGTAAGGTGTACATGTACCGGTACCTGTGCTCATCTTGCATCCAGTAAACAATATCCGTCTGGCAACCAGGGTTGCCAACATGGCACCCTAGCTAGCCGGCTGTACTAGTTACCAGCAGCAAGTCGCTTTGTTTGAGGTCTGTGCCCTGGCTGTGGCTGGAGGCTGCGCAGGAGCCTTCCAATGCTGCCAACTATCTACTTGTACTAGCTAGTACCGTAGCTAAGCACTAGCTAGCTCTAGCTAGAGGAATCTGCTTCTAGCTAGCTACTAGACTAGCAGGAGGGTAGCCGGCTGTACTAGTTACCAGCAGCAAGTCGCTTTGTTTGATGTCTGTGCCCTGGCTGTGGCTGGAGGCTGCTGCGCAGGAGCCTTCCAATGCTGCCAACTATCTAGTACTAGCTAGTACCGTAGCTAAGCACTAGCTAGCTCCAGCTAGAGGAATCTGCTTCTAGCTAGCTACATGTACTAGACTAGCGGTGTGGCGAAGGACTCGTTGGATCCAAGAAGAAGAAAAAAAGAAGGAGGGGGGGCCAGACGGTACCAGTGACGTTTCTAGTCCTGTCCTCTAACTACCCAATGTCCTACCTATAATCCCCTACTCATTCCTCAGACGCGCAAATTTGGTCGCATCATAGATAAAATGTACTTTAAAGTCCACTCGTACTTGTGGGAACCAAAATTTCTTTAGTCTTGGCAAGGACCCGCGCAAACTTTAACCCTCAACTCTCTCTGAAAGATTTGGCCAGCCAGCCAGCGTGGAGGGAACTCATTCAAAAAGCAATCGACAATGACAAACTCCACCGGCGATTCACCACTGAAGAACTTCAGCTCTGCGCAACAGGGCTTTATCAAGAAGATTAGATCGGCAGTGGACAATGACTATCGTGCATTCTTCAAGGGGAACAACTGGCGGAATGTGCTCCCAAGGGGTGGCCGCTACAACAGCAATCTTTTGAACACCGCTGCCAAAAAGACGAAAGTGGATGCGTTCAATACGAAAGCAATGACAGTGTGGGTTCCCCACCTACTATTCGAGAAGCACATCCCTACATGTCCACACTGCAAGAAGAACAGTTATGTAGATGTGACCAAAACGCGGTGGATTAATAACGTGACAAGGACAATCGCAATCACTTCGGAGCAAACAAGAACGTTCTTCCTGGTGTTGGGGGCACTAAACTGAGGCAGCTTATTGGGATGGGCGTGAAATCCATGAAAGAATTACTTGCCGTGGATCCTGATGATCACCCCAGCCGGCTCAGCAGGAAAATCAAGGGTTGGCAGCAGAAAGTGAAGGTTTACTATGCGAAACATCAAGTTCGTGTAGACCAACTGGAGGAGGAGCTCATCGCTGCAGAGCTTGAACATCAGATTGCCAGTGACGCCATTGCAGAGTATGTAGAACAGAATGGATTGCCGAGTGATGGGAATGAAGATGATGTTCCAGGGGGGACAGATGGAGTTAACAGACCACCTCTGTTCTCCAAATTCGATGATCGAAAGGGATACGACGGTCGTTTCATCAGCAAGTACATGATTGACAGCCTTGTCACCACTGTGTTCCAGCACAGGAAGGAGTATCAAGAGAGCAAGATGAAGGGACTGACAGCGGAGATCCTCAAAATTGACTTCAATTATAAGCTTGCATCCAAGATAAGAGTGTGGACTGGCGCTGGAAAGAGTTTTTGTCCTTATAGGTGCATCATTACAATTCAAAATGAGGATGGCCTGACTGTCTTTTGGAAGGCACTGAAGCACTCTGAGTCTTTCAGCGAGGTGGAACCTGATCTTGTCCGGCTGAACAGCAGATTGAAAAGAAATAAGAAAGCCCAAGAGACCACACGGAGACTGGAAATGGCACGAGATTTTGTTCCAGATGGTGCAGAGGTTCCCCCTGTTCCAGAAGTCGAGTTAACTGATGCCGTCAAGGTTGTTTATGTCGACAACTGTTGCCAGGTGCATACAACACTTAAGCGAATCTTTGGGCAGGAAGTGAAGATCCTACTCGACGTCTTCCACTGGCAAAAGCGATGGAACCAATGCCTTAGAGATCAGAACTCAGCACAAGGTGGAATATTCCGGGGACTACTCAGCAGGGCTGTTTTCCTTGTGGAGCCAACTGAATATGACCGTGCCAAGGCTTATCTTGAACAAAAGAAAAAGCGAGAGCCAACACACAAGGAAATCATGAAGGAAGCCAATGCTGTTATTCCAGAACCAGAGCAACTGAGGAAGAATGTAGAAGCTGTCCTTGAGTATGTTCGCGCAAAGGATGCTGAAACAGAGATGGCATTGTCCACTGCTCCCACCCGAGCGAATCAAGAAGAAACGGCGCCATCAGGACGACTTTTTCTGAAGAATGATAGTGCTATCCGAGACAAAATCAAGCAATTGTTTACATATATTGACAAGGGCTGCTTGTCGGATCCAAGTGAAGTGAAGATCTTTCGGACCAACCCAGTAACAGGAGTCACCTTCGTTTCAAGGGGAACCAACACAAATGAGAGAGACAACTTGGATCTCGCTTATAAAATCCTGACGGCTACTCACATTGGTACGTACCCATTATCCTGGACGACTTCTTTAAGTTTGGCCACTGACCGACCGCCTGTACACTCTTTTTTTAGGAATCCATCGAGGTGATCGATTAATGACCTGTTTCTTCGAAGAAAGGAACCAACAGAAGGCAATCACTCGCCTTGGGGAAGAGGATTATGGGATAGTTGACACTGAGCGGCTTTTGTTGCTGAATTCAATCGCCAAAACGGTGGGATATAAGGAGACCGAGTTGCCCTTTAAAGGGATTTCTGCTCCCACTGTTGATGACGCTGCCGAAGAAGAGTACATGGGATTTTGCTACAAAGTCGTGGAAGCACATGATGTGTCCAATCCAACAGCTGGCGGTACTGGGTACAACAGCAGTGAAGAGCAAGACAACCATGAGCCAGTCAGAAATGGCGATGATGAGGACGATGTACCAGTGACAGTTGACGTTGACGATGAGCCCAATTCGGCCACTGAGAATGACATGGAACAGCACTTGGAGGAAATTCAACAAAGTGAGGCTGTTCGCCACAGTGATGCTTTAAATCGACTGTTGATCCAAGACGAGTTGGCAAAACTGCTTCCAGACACAAATGGTCGCGAATCCACACTCCAAGCCTTTACCAAGCTCAGTAACAAGCAGCCCTGGATACCTTTTCGGTCTCATAATTCCAGCACAGCTGCTACAGATGTGGACAGAGAGGAGGAACGTCTGTTTAATGTGGAGCATGTCAACTATAATCTTCAAGGTAGAGGGAAGCCAAATTACAGGGCATTCGAAAGAAACTGGAATAATGAGGTGGCAAGGCGATTTCGCGAGTGGAGTAAAGGAGATGACACCATCCTTCAAATCAACCGAAAGAGCAGGCTACAGTTGGAGAACTTCCTTCGCCAAACCAGAGAGCAACGCACTCTTCAGGCCACAGCTACTAGTGCCAACGATCCAAATCGGCAACAGTTGAATCGACAGCTTAGAGAAACAAGGAATGCTCTACCAAATAATCCACCAGCACACAACACACAACCACCAACCTATGTACAGCATCAGAGAGGGCGCACTCCATTTGGAAATCCAACAACTTTGAATACAACCATTGCCATGGGAAGGATTGATGGAGTGCAACAGCAGGTTCTACACAGAAACAGAAATGTGGCACCATTTGATGTGGCAGCTCCTCCACAACCAAGAGCTGGAGGAGCGAGGAGGCCACCAAGAAAGGTTTTTAAAAGCAGGCGCTTCTGCATCACTTGTGGCCACAAGAGAAAGGATCATGTTGATGCTGAGAGTGTTGGCAAGGATTGAAAGAGAAACTATTGTGGCAACTGTTGGCAGCTAAAGGACTATCATGGTAGTGAAGATGGCTTTGGTCCAACCTGTACCAAAGCAAAGCACACCAACTGTGTTGACAGAGATCTCTGGTTTGACATTAAGGTGAGCTTTGACTACTATTGTTACTGTGACACCAACTGGATTACAAACAACAACAAGTCTTACAGCTGTTGCTTCCATTATCTTTCTCTGAATAAACATGAATCAGTCTTGGTGCATTGGGTAAGAGTAGCCACCATGATGGGCAGTGAATGCAGCTCTGTGGGAAATGTACTGCTCACTACTGATTGCCATACCACTTAGGTTGTGTTTGTGCTGGCTCCAGCACTCTGTGTCAAACCAATGACTCCATTCAGTAAGTAAAAACTCCTTTGCCTCACTGTGCCACACACCAAACTGAGTATAGAGAACTCCTCTCATAAGTGGTCTGATTGCTTCTTTGCACATCTCTTTCCTTGTGACAGGTTCATGTTCATACACTTCCCATGCCAGCTCAGCAAGAACATCACTGTACCATTCATTGCTGTGCTTTACACCCCACACAAACATCTCATCCAGCAACCAAGTCTGGTCAGGGGTCATTGGCAGCGCATTCCCTTCCATGATGAGTTGCTCAAGGATTCCACTGGACAGGTATCTGGTCTTCACAAGATAGTACTGGGTTTTGGGATCTTCCCTGTCTGTTTGATCCTCTAGCAAAACATGCTTGCATACATAAGTCTGTCTGGTTTTCCTCATCTCATTGTAAGGGTAGCGATCATTAACATGTAGCCACTCTTTAAATACATGACTAGCCGTGAACAACATGGTGATGTAGCAGCTTTGCTGTAGTGGTGGAATGTTGACTTTCAATGACTCGACGACTCCACGGAAAGAGGTACGACGTCTTTAAAATGTGAGCACGATTTTGTGACAGGGAGAGGTACGACGCACCTCCTGGAATAACTCTTCCAACCTTCCACAAGACTCCAACGGTTTAAGTGACATTTTTTAAATTCTGCACTGTGTACCTTACTGTACAGTTAGCAAAGTCTTGTGGGGAAAAATCGTACTCTACTTTACCAGTAACCGGGATTTTTCCATACCAGACTAGCAGGGGTTTCTGCTTCTGCGCTGAAACTTTTCTGCCTAGGTTCCACAGCTCCGCTGGCTTAAATTGCATGCCCAAAATCTATAATTTACACCTCTTGCTCCCTTATTGGAACTCTGACCTTCACAGCTCCTGCTGGCACATTGTACATAGTCAAATGATGCAAGCAGATAAAGCAGCCATCGTCGAAATCGCACCTCAATGACTATAGTGGACCCGCCCCAGCGCTCAGGAAAACGACGGAATCAGCCCACTCCAAATACCACATCAATGAGGAGGACTAGGCGCGCAGCATTGACTCTTGAAGCAAGGGCTTCGATCCATACCGTACATCAAGAACTGACGGATTCACCTCGGCAGTCTTGCTGCCAGAGCCCTCAACCCCTGAAACCTCGGCAGTCTTGGCACCCAACCGCCATGGATCAAGATATCCATTGAAACTGCCATTTCGAGGCAAGAGTGTCACACACAAGCGCGCGGAAAGAGAAAGCGCCCAATATCGTCATTGTCAGTCCATCGCGTCAAGACCATTTTCTAGCCGGGAAGGATATGATACCGTACCCCCCTGCTGTCCATCCCACGCTTTGTGCACTGGCAACCCATGGCTCCATGACCGCAGCGCCGTTTCTGTACTTGTTTTTCTTGTATTGTACGATGGCAGTTTCCGCAGCGCAAAAGGTCTTTAGTTCTTGCTGCCCTGGCTGCATGCTCACTCCTGTGAGCTCTGTTCCTTAGTTGCTTCGCGTTCGTTGAGGGCGTGCTCCGGTACTATTCCGCTAGCTAGTAGCCGCTTTGAGCCCTACCGATTCATCGCGTCCACCGATTCGATTCGCTCAAAAGGAGTGAGCTCCGGAGCGAGGAAGCAAGCTGACAGCCAGGAGTGAGCAAACTGAAGACTTTTGAGCTGTGGAACACAGCCATTGTACGACCGGAGATACACAGCTAGATACACTATCCCCGTGATGATACGAAACACAACTACAAGAACAGGAGTGGCGCCAAGGGCCAAGGGCCAAGGGCTTACACGGCAAGTGCAGCGATTCCGGTGAGCCGGAGCCAAGCTTACTACCTGATATACGGAACTAAGTGGTGGTAGAAAGCGCACATGAGCGACACGGACGGTATAGTGTTGCCACGGAATTATAACAAGTTCCATCAGGAAGAAAGCCATCAAGCCATCAAATCTGTGCTGATAGAGGAGGTTCGACGGAAGATATCCGACTGACAAGCCATGTTCCCAGGTGTGCTCGAATACCGTACTGGATCTACACAGCATCGGCCGACAGGTCTTACAGGATCCGAAGGCGGCACTGTCATACACGGATCTGAGCATATCCAACAACAGCGGAAGCCATCAGGCAACTAGACTATTCGAGTAGTGTTATCAACCAGTAGGTGTTTGCTGTTGCATCGGCAAAGCAGCAAAGCAGTGAATTCGAGCGAATTTGCAAGAAAAACAACTACCGGTACCACTGGTACCGGTAGACAGTCATGCGATCGATTAGATAGATGGAACGACGACCGCTGCTGCTACGGTATCACGGACGGTCCAACAACTTACCGGCATCGGTCGATGATAGCACAGGTGATTGCAACAACAACCTCAACATCTTCTGTGGGCAACAGGCTACTAGCTATTAAAATAGACTAGCTACATAGTAGTTTACTTCGTTGCTAAGATCATCGTCAAAGATCACCGAAGATCCATGAAGAAGGCATCCTACATGTACATGTAGCTGGCATCCTGTGACTACTTCGACAGCAGCCGATTTTAAAATACTGACAAAATTTAATAATACTGTACAGGTACAGCAAATGTTGCATACACTTTACCTGTACCTCGCGGCAGAGACAGAAAGCGGAAACCGTTGTGCGAATGAGGCTTAATGTACCGTACTTCCTTTAAAAAAACCTCAATGAATGGCAAAAGGATTATTGATGAGTGAAGCAGAGCTGCAGTAGTGACCAGCAGGAGCTGAAAGGCCGCAATGTATCTTGTGTTGTTTTTGTCATGGCATTACTACACAGTCTACATGTACAGTCGTATGTAGTAAAAGGATGGCTCTAACGATGGGCAACATGTTACAAGTATTTTAATAGACTACAATGTCATGTGTACCGGTACCCAGTACCGGTACCGGTGTTGATGATGGTCTTGCTGGGATATGTCGAATGATAGAATCGAATCGAATCGAATCAGGTGAGTTGAAAATTTAATTAAAGGTACATGTCCCTAGTGCTGGCTACTAGTAGAATAGCCAACAGGAATTGTGCGGAATACTGGTACATGCAAACAACTCGTTCAAAAGATATATCAATAATCTTGCTAGAGGCACATTTCCGGGGATCTTTGGAGGGATCAAAGCTATTTGTAACAGTATCGGAAGAACCTTCTCCATGTCACCAAGTAGACCCTACACTTGCATTTTTGGGCGAGCAGATGTGATGAAATTTTGTTGTTGGATTGTTTTGAAACCACAGCATTCATGTGGCATTTTCTGGTGTTTCAAGTTTGGCTTGGAATGATAAACTAATCTTCTAAACAGCAGGTTCAGTGTGCAATTCGTAGGAAGTAGAAATAAATGATTGAAGCTTCAATCATTCGTGGATCTAACTAGTGTCCATCCAGTGCTCTTACACGGTGAACTCTTTGGAACGTACCTATTTTGGCAGTCTTTTTTATACTAGTATGTAATGTAGGAAACGTAGCAGGTAGGTACATTACGGTGGTCATACAAAAGGTGTTCTGGTCTTCTGTTCCAATCAATTGCCAAACACGGTATTGCCAAAGCAAAACTCTATTTAAGTACTCCAGACTCGAGTCATTTCGGCTAAACGGAGAATGACCCACATTTTATCTCCTACATGCAGCAGTATATAATTGAATTAACGAAGTGTTCCGGTCAGTAAGGTACGAACTGAAAGGACTTTTACTGGAGTCTCGTGGCTCGTGGTCGTCTGGTGCTGTACCATCAGCGGCTGCGGACCAGTGGTCGAGGAACCGGGCCCAGTCTTTCACATCCTCTGCTCTTTGGCCAAAGAGATTGAAGTCCACATCAGCTTCAGCATCCGCAAAAGCAAGGAGTAATACATAGCCAGTATCAAGCAAAGCTGAACACAAGGAGGAAGAAGACAAAGTAAGAAGAAGAAGCAACTTTCCTTTCAATGCTGGAGTGTGAGATGACGACGACTCCCAGTAACAACCTTGTGGACGCTGCGGATTTGGAGATGATGGAAGCTCTCGAACACGGAGAACCCCCCAGTGACGAGGAAGAGGAGATTGACTTGACAATGCCAACCATCACCGAGGGTGAAGCGCATCCATCCATGGCACGCATCAGCTCGAGTGGCTACAGCAGCAGCTCAGACCACCATAACGACAACGAGGGGGCTGAGATCGACTTGACAATGGCAACATCCATTGAGGGTGAGGAACATCCACCCAAGGGACGCCGGTTAACATGGCATCAGCATCAACTCCAGTCGGTGGGTATGGGCATGTCAGACCTGGATTATGATGAAGACTGTGACCTCGTCGAGGGCAAGATTGGGACCAAACCCAAAGTGCACCTTGGAACTGTTCAAGGTCGTACCGGTACTGGTGATGGTGATGATGATGACAGCTGCAGCCGTGATAGCGTCTTGTCGGCAGAAGCAAGAGAACGAGCCATCCGTAGAGGATGCTTCAGCGGGATGATTTGGGAACAAATCTACAGCTACATGGGAATGATCATATATTTTTTCTGTGACATTATTGCTGCATTGTGCAAACGCATTCACAAGAAAATATTCAAGAACAACTCATCCAACGACGATGATGCCAACAGCTTGGATGTTGTAGATCTTGCTACTGACCTTGTTGATGCGGATGATATCCGCGGCATGAGCCGACAGTTTTCCAGCAATGCCTTTCAAGGTGGTGGCTACTCTGCCAATGCGGGCGCTGCAACGAGTACTTCGGCAGCCCAGTCGGCTGCAACGGCTGGTCACATGGCCACTGTCGCAGCCCAAAGTGCTGCCACTGCCACTGCTTGTAAGTCTTCCGTTGCATGGTTGGGTCTTATGATGAACCAATTCGAGCTCAAACTCAAACCCTTCTGCCTTCTCCCCTCTTGTTTCATTCAGCTGCAACCACCGCTGTAGCGGCATCATCCACCTTTGCCTCTACTTTGGTAGGAGCTGTGGCTTCCATGGGAGTAGCCTCGCAAGTAGGTGCTGCTGTGGGAGCGGCAGCGGTTACGGTTGCTGCCGTGTCCACTGGGGTGAGCATCAGTCAAGAAGCAGTGGGCCCTACCCCAGTGCCACTGGCTTTTGTTCTTAATGACCCGTTCATCCCACCAGTCTGCTCCCAAGATGTTGATATCAAGCAAGGCTATGTTGAACTGCAGATCCAGTCACTTCCAAAAGCAGCGTTGCCCCAGTACCAGGTGGCAATGGAGAGAATGTTCCGAACTGTCTACAACAACATCTCTGGTCAGTGCCTGGATCCTCTACAGAGAATTGTCCACAATGCCTCACTGGAGCGTTGGGAGGAGATTGAGACAGCAAACCAAGCTAGCATTACCACATTGTATTGGTCTGCTACTGTTGCTTGTAGTGGTTGTCCTGGTGAGTTTGTTGAAGCGGCTATTATATAGATCACACATGTGCCAGGCATGACCTCATCCCTTACCACTGCACACAATCTGTTGCCTCTCTATCTGCAAGATTGGGAGCCCCTTTTTGACCTATCCACAATTCTTGCCTTGGAACTAGACCAAGTTGCTGTAGATTCCATGAGCTCTTCCAATGCCACAAACATGACCATTGGAGGTGCTGATAACAACCTCACACAGTCAGTAGGGCCATCAAGAGCTAGCTCCAGATCTGCATACCTGGGTGGGCGCAATCTACAAGAAGCTCCCACTTTAAATGAGTTCTTTGCCATCTTTGCAACCACCTTTGGATACAACTTGGGCCCCTTGCTGGAGGGCGCCAGCAATGGTGCCAATGAAACTGAGGCCAAAACCACTGAACCACCAAAGGTTGTCTTTGCCACAACCAAGGCAGTGCCAGTCTTTGATAGATATGGCAGCAGTGGTCCCAATAATCAGACCTCTGTGGTTGCCTCAGTTGGTGAAGAAGCATTGCAGCAATTTGATGACTATGTTAATGCCAACGGAGGAGAGGTCAAGACGCCCTTTATCTCTGATGACCTCTCTTTACTGGCAGACTGCATCTTAGAGGATCCCGAAACTGAGGAAGCCTCGCCAACCTGCGATCAAGTTAAAGCAGTTTTGGCCAGCTCAGAGCGCAACATGGATGCTGCCGCTCTGGTAGATTGCATTGAAGAACCAACTAGCACATTGGAGTGTCAAGAGGTTTTGGCTGATGTCTTAAATGGACCATCATCTTCATTGTTAGCTGGAGGTTCATCTGATAGCTCGGCTGATTTGGACTCCCTCCAGACGGCAGCTACATCAGATAACAGTGCTGATAATATCAGCAATGGCAATGTGGAGGCGCCCTCAATTTCAGCCCCCCACTCACAGCAAAGTGATGAGTTTCCTTTCGACGAACCACATGGCCGTTTGGACAATCATGCGCCGACCTTGTCCCCTGCAATGATGTCAGAACTACAAAATGATCAGGATGCACAGTCTGTTTCTATGTTCGGGGAAGAACCGATTCCTTCACAAGTCTTGACTGCTGAGCCAGCTCCTGTGACTGATTTCACTACACCACACGTGGATTACTTCCCTCAAGCCCCTTCTAGTGCAGCACCAGCCACAATGGGATATAGTGTCGCCTCACAGATCCCTACCACAGCGAAGCCTGGAAATGCTGGCGATATGCCTTCACCCACTTCTGGAGAATCTCCAGTTGTGGGATCTAGTATTGGTTCTAGTGGTGTGTTGGGTGAGGGGCCAAGCAGCAACTCAGAAACAGGAAGTACAGCTGCAGCTGTTGCCTCTCCGACATCTATCTCTCCACCTGCCGATTTGTCTAACCAGCCAGTATCTGAGAATGATGCAATGCTAGGAATGGACCCAGCTCTTGCCGTCTTGGGATTATCCACTTCCCCATCATTAATAGTCTCCAGCGCTGGATCAAGCAGTCCCATCATCATGCCATCCTCAACTGCCTATCAGAACAGCCCAAGCATTGAGCCTCTCTCTTTGCACCCCTCAATTGATGCCTCACTTTCACCACAAACTGTTCATGAGCTTAATGCATTCACAAACAACGCAAACAACTATTTTGCTATACCAAAAAGACAAGGAGTGACTTCAGCTCCCACGGTGAACACAGGAATTTCATCCTACACAGCCTTAGAACTGAACAAGTAAGGATAAAGGAATGTGCGAAATCATGAAATGTTTGCATAAATCTCACTTTATCTTGTTTGCTTTTCAACTTTTCAACTGCAGGTTTACAACAAAGGAAGGTGGTGTAATGGAGACACCGCGTGCCAACAATGTAGATGCACCACCAAAAGCAGCTCCTGGTACTAGTCCCACTGCCCTGGTTGCAACAGCAAAGGTTTCAATCCTGCTGCCTACCACTCCTCCACAAACTAATGAAAACCCCACGCTTGACCCTACCTTGGAACCCACCTTGGAACCTACCAACGAGCCAACCACTGCAAGCCCCACAGTTGTACCGGGTTCACCGAGTGCCAATCCCACAACTGGTACACCCACCAGTTTGGAGCCCACGACGGGTCGCCCAACAACCGTGTCAACTACTATAATCCCAACTGTTCTGGATGGAAAGTCCAGCAGCAGTCCTACAACTCTACCGCCTACGACAGGAAAACCAACTACAGCCGCTCCTGTAACAACCAGTACTCCTAGCAACACACCATCAAGCACTCCCACAGAGTTGCCAACCATCTTCCCCACAAGGAATCCAACAGGGACCCCAACCCAAATACCTACAGTTTCTCCAGGTTTCCCTAGTGCTGCTCCAACTACAGAAAACCCCACCAACAGTCCTTCTGAAATACCCACAGAACAACCAACTAGCTTCCCCACTAGGCTCCCTACATACAGCCCAACCAGTCAACCCACAAGAGATCCTTCAAACTCTCCAACTATCAGTTGCAGTGAATCGTTCTTTGAGGTAGAGGCAACCTATTATGTGACATTTGATGAGAACCCCAACACACGCTCAGATGCCGACCTTGGACAAGATTTCTACAACGGTAAGAAACATGCTGATTCTTACATGTATCTTCCTACTAGTCTTTGCTGATTTTCATTTGTATCTTCCTATGACTTTTGATTGCTCCATTTGCAGCATACTCCGCCCTGGGAAAGACTGGTTGTGATCCCATCATGTCTCAAGCCATTGTGACAAGAAGAGTTGCCCGTCGCCATCTTTCAGTCGATACTGACTCTCCCAGGATTGTGGAAAGACACCTGCAGTTGGGGGTGCAGGTTGAGTTTTTGGTCAAGTCAAGGCAAACAAAGTTTGACTCAATCGTAACAGAAGAGAATGATATTGCACAATTTCTTCAGGAATTTACAGCAGGGATGGGGGGCAGCACTTCTACCGCTATAAGGTTCAGTACCACACTTGTCACGAGGTCACCAACTCGTCCTCCCTCCACCCAGCCAACACATCATCCCACCAAAGCTCCCACCAGCCAACCAACAAATAGGTCAACACCCCTGCCAACGATTACGCCAGGTGCCCCAAGTGAAACCCCAACCACTGGAACTCCCACCGGTGCACCAACTGATCAACCCTCTGGACTACCAACTGCTCAGCCTACTATTGGTCCAACCACAAAATCACCAACTGAACCTCCAAGTGAACAACCAACAAGGCAACCGACAGAGCGGCCAACATATTCACCCACAAATCAACCTTCGAAGTTTCCAACAAAACAACCAACCACTGCCCCCACTGACCTTCCAACTATACTGCCACTTTTATCCCAACTGTCTCCCCTGGTGCACCCAGTGCGTCTCCAACGAACCGCAAGCCCCACAACAGTATCTCCAAGTTTTGTACCATCGGATTCTCCAACCAGAATCCCAACAAGTCAGCCGAGCAGTCAGCCCACCACCCCACCACCTATCCATCCCTCGGGGCCTCCCACAACTCATCCAACCAACCACCCAACAGAAATCCCTACTGTGTCTCCTACTCCCATCCCTACAGGCTCCATTGGCTCTCCCAGTGCTCTACCAACAACAGGAAGTCCAACATCAGGGACCCCCACAAGAACACCAAGTTATCCACCTACGGGCCTCCCCACTGGGCCCCCTACAAAGAGCCCAACTGGTCAGCCTACCAGCGTTCCCACAAATCAGCCAACCATGTTACCAACGAGGCAACCAACCACAGCAGTGCCCACTGCTTCTCCTGGCTCTCCGAGTGTTAGCCCAACTAGACCTAGTACCTACACAGACACCCGTCAAAGAGGTCCGTCAAAATCACCTGCAA